TTTTTTGCAATCACCTTCTGAAGTATCAGTTCTTGTCCCTAAAAAAAGACTGTAACCTCTTTATTTTGGATTTAACAGAATCCTTAATCATTTCCAAAAATTTTATGTTGAGTTTTTGCATATTTTGCAAGTGCTGCTACAACTTTGAAAAAGCGATATTCTATTACAAAATTTTTTCGTTCCACAAAGAAGCTCTTATTGATATTTTTCACTCAAACATTTGTTTTAAAGTTATACGCAGGCAAAGTTATACATGAAATGGACTGAGCATGCATACTGGTGATTTATACATTCTGTGTTGCTCATACGCCATGGAGTACTGCATGAATAGAGTACATTTGATCCATAACTTTAACTGGGATAACTTTTAAAGGAACATTTTCATGAAAAATATTATGCAGTGTTTTTTGGTAGAGCCGAAGTTTTTTTTATTAGAATAAACCCTTTTTCAGAAAATTAGATTTTTTAGTTCTGGAGATAAACATTTCTTTGCAAAAAGATAAGAAGTCTCATATAAAATTTATGGGAAAAAAATGATTTAGGCTAGGTGCAGACTGAAAGCAAAGACTTTGTTTACGTTGGATCTTTGTTTTTTCTTGTTTTAGAGAAAAACCTGAACTACAGACAACGTTTCCAAAAACAAAAATAATGAAATTGGAAAATAAAGCACACCCTAATGCACGGTAAAGTCATTATAGCATATGCGAGTGCTGCATATTGTTGTTGTGGTGTCGGTTTAATGCACTTACAGCCATCACGCGGTCGCCAACCATTATTTTGCCGTCACGATGCGCTAAACCGCCTTCAGTTATGCGTGAAATGAAAATTCCATCGCAGCCATCCTTAAATGGTGGTGAGCCTTTACCGCCGGCAATGCTAAAGCCCAAGCCCTGTCCGATTTGATCACGAATTAAAGTGGTGTGTAGTTGTAAATAGCTCAAGGGGGCATCCTGCAATGATGAAATGAAATGCATGTAAAAGGCAAAAGTCAAATTGAAGTGGCGAAAATTGGTGCATATTCTTGAAAAAAGCATGATTTCAAACTTAGCAAATAAATTGTAGAAAATGCGGCTGATTTCTCAAATCTCTTAGGATCAATAGAAGTTAGTAGCACAAGTGGCTAATAAAAATGGTCGAATTATTTTTACAAATTAGTGTTATATGTACTAATTTCTTACAAAACAAAACAAAAAAAAAAAACAAAGAGTTCGATTTTCATCAACACACTTCGTGCCGATGCTGCATGCCGTCAATTTGTTATTATTTATCAAATATTCATATTTTCCAAATTATTTTTCAAATATTTGTTGCAAAACTTTTTCTGCGGGAGCAAAATTCCGTTTACTACTTTCATTTAATTTGCGTTTGCAAAACCATTTTTCATGAATTTTACTAAAAATTCAGCTGCAAAACTGACCGACGACCGACAACCTACAAAACCGACCTTGCCATTTTCCAAAACGCCATTTGTTGCACCCACCCCAACATGTTGCGGTTGGAGTTGTTGTTGCGGCTGATGTGATAAATTTGCCGCATTTGTTGGTCTTGCTGCTGTTGCTGTTGTTGGTGTTGTAAATACATTCGCTTGATAGCTGTTGAAGTTGGCAGGCGCATGCTGTAATTGTTGTTGTTGTTGCAGCTGTTGCTGTTCTGGAATAATTTCAATCGGTGCCGGAATGAATTTTTCATGCTGCTGCGCTGCGGCCAACGGTCGCGTTTCCACCGATATCTGCAAGTGAAGAAATTTTAATGTGCAAATATTTGTATGTTTATATTCGCATTGCATTGCAGTAAGTAAAAATCAATTTGCAAACATATATTAAGCGACAATTCGCACTTTCCCAGCGCTAATTGCATGTTTAACGACACAATTTACCGCAGCAAGCGTTTAATTGCGCTACAAATGAGGTATCTGCACAACTTGTGACGTTGACATAAAAGCTATATATATATATATTTATATTTGTTTGTGTAAACCCACCTGTGAGACCGAGCCATCTTCGCTAAACACTGGATGGCCTATTAGGCGTGTAACTTCGCGCTCCACCACCAACACCAACACCGCACCGCAGGCCTTCAACACCTGCACGGCCTGATAGTGATCGGCGTCGACCACATTTATGCCATTCACTTTCAGTACTTTATCGCCAACTTTCAAGCCGGCCAAATCCGCTGGGCCACCCTCCGTGACGCGTGATATGAAAATGCCTTCGTCATCGCCTTTAAATGGTGTTGAACCGCGGCCGCCCGCTATGCTCAAGCCCAGACCGGCAGTGGTGCGTTCAATATGGATTTCGTACTGTTCGAGACGCAGCTCGGTGAGACCGTCCACGGCATCTACAATGGCAGAAAGAGAAGAATGCGTATGAGTTAATGTAATAGAAGTGTGTGGCATTAAATACGATTTGGAAGTAACATTTACGGACACAACTACAACTTTATGACATTTTCGCTTTCAGCAACTGCACTGCATATACATTTGTATATATAAGTATTCCCAGAAAAGTTTTGAGTTCAAGTAAGTCTCGTTGGTCTAGACAGTCTTATTTTACTGCTATGTTCTCATAGTACTCCAAGCCAAAGGCGCACATTGTTTGTAGTGCACGTCACGTTTGTTATTACCATGTAGAAATGCGCTTCGGCCACAAAAATGTAGGGCAGACTCAAATTCATGAGCTTCCAAGTCCCAAGCAAGCCCACCTGTGTGCGAGCACTTAGTTATGATTCCAGCTGCATATTCAGCCGCGCGCTGACAGAAACACTTCAGCTGCCGCAACATCATTACCGTTATCATTTAGCATTACCACGTAGTATATATTTGCTTACCATATTGTCGATTGTGCTCCAGATCGCCAGTGTACGTCGTTACGATGCGCACACGTTTGTCCTTGCGCCGCAGCGAATTGCTCGGACTGCGATTAGAGGAGGCGAGTGAACTGCGTAAGCTCATATTGGCCGGACTGTTGCGGCCGCTGGTGCTGCCCAGCGAGCCCGTACGCCGCGAGCGTGGCAGTGTGTTGTCGCCCTCCTTTATTTTTAACTTAATGTTGAACATATTAACGTTATGTTTGTCGTTTTTTCTGCTCTTCGTTTTCTACACTTATTTTTCTTATTCAATAATGCATTCGCTTCTATGTTTGTATGGTGTGTACGGTGTGACTGTGAATGTGAGTCAAAAATCGGCTTATACGCTTCACGTATTCGATATAAACAATAATATTTCTGCTTTTGCTTTCTTGCTTTATTCGTTGGTGTAACAGATTTTGTGTAAACGGATCACATACCCGCCGCCGTCTTCGTACTTGCAAGTACAGACACACACAATTATATCTAATGCATCATCATTCTGTAAAGAGCTTTTATCAATTTTATTATTTTGTGCAATTTCATCGAATCGCAAATCGTCCTCGCCTCTCGGCAGTAGAGGCAACAGTTGCAGTTGCCAGCGAACGGGAAGCTGAAGCAAAGTAGCTGGCATCTATGCGTACGCAATTTCATATAATCACAGAAGCACTAAAGCAAGATTTCAGCAGCAATGCAGTGAGAGCGAGCGCTCCGGCAGCTGGCGAAGCCAATATAAGAACGTAAAGTAAAAGCATATGCATATATGCATGAGCATGAATGTGTGTATGGGTGTATGTGTGTGTGTGTGTGTGTGTGCAGGAGGAGCAGTGGAAAAAATCGCAAGCACTTTACAAAATATATATTTGCTTATTGGATTTTAATGCGTTGAACTGCATCGATAATAGCTTTTGAAAGTGACTAGTGACTACACAATTCATCGCTTAAATCGTGCAACTAAGCGGCACAGCCAATGCAAGTTCGCTCGTGGCGCAATAATATATCTCTTTTTGGTACTTTGTAGATTTATTGCCAGCGTTTATATATTGCTTTGTACGGCAAACTTAAATGCTAGCGGTATTCCAGAGACTTTCGCAAGTATGTTTAAATAAATCGCGGATTATGGAAATTATTTTATCTTCTATTGCGAATATTTTTTAATTTTGTTGCAATGAAAATGATTTGATTAAAATTTTATTTAAGACGTTTACATGGCTTTTCTCGGGTAAAATACAGTATTTTTTCAACAATTTTTTTCTCATATAAAAAATTTAATATTTTATTGGAATTTTTTATTATTACAAACATCATAGTGTATGAAAAACAAAGAAATTCTGAAATTTTTTGGAAAAAATATTTTATACTCGGCCAGGATCGCCTAAAGTGAACCATACGTCTTGTATTTAAAACCTTAACTTAGAAGTTGGACGAAGGAAAAAGCTGAAATTTTTTTTGGATTTTTGGCAGACATTTTTACAAAATAATTAAAACTTTACATTGTTTTTTTTTTTTTAATAGTTCAAAGTTTTTAAWAACTCAAAGACCTGTGTAAAATTTCATTAAGGTCGGTTGAGTAGTTTTCGAGAAATCTTGCCAACCGACTTCTAAAAACAGTTTCGAAAAAAACGCGTTTAATGACGTCGGACTTAGCCTAGCTACTAGCCTTGAGCGCAGAAGTTCACAAAGCTGTATCTCTGAAACTATTACTCGGATCAACTTGAAAGTTTGCGACAATATTCTAGAGGTGTTTTTGAATTTAATAAGACAATAAAAAATAATTCGATTCTTTGAAACCCGTAAGCCATGTAACTCTTATCTTATTGTTATATAGTAAGTCGAGCTCCAAAAATCTTAAAAAACGCATAGCGCGAGTTTGAGACTTTTTTTCATATTTTTGGACTGTCGTGCTTCAGCAAAGAGCTAAAAAATGTCAGCGAAACTTTTAAATTTAACAACAACAACAATTTCATATTAAATAATAACAAGTAGTACACTTTTAGCACTGCTCTATCAAAACATCATACCAAACCGTCTCTACACGCAAACATAAGAGTTGAAATATATATTTAATGGTGACAGTTTTTTAAATTTTGAACTAGATGTATAACAATATATTACAGCAAAGTCCAAGACATTGCGTGGAAATTTTAGTTACATTATAAAATCTTTTTTTAGCTTTTTTTTATTAATTTTAAA